AGATTAAAGAAAAATATTGCAAGAAAAAAATATCTAAAAATAAATTTTGAAAAATAATTATAATTCCAAAATAAAAAATCATTTACTAAATTCATATGTAAATTACAAATTTATTTTTTACATTCGAATCAAAAGTTTATTAATTTTAAAGTTAATGTATTTTTAATACATAACAACCATAATATCGTATTTAATAAATTCTGTCATAAATATTGTTTGTAGTAAAAATTCTGTTGTTTGTAAAACTCATATTTGATTCCACAATGATATTTAATTATAATAAATAAATATGCCTAATTAAAATGTTAATATATTAAATTTAATATCTTATGTTTAACATAAAAATAAATTAAGCAAATCTATTATAGAAATACATTCTATATCTTTATAAGTTACAATAGAAGAGATCTAATATAAATAAGATGAAAATAATAATAAAAAATTTAATACCATAGATTGTCACATTATAAATGATTTATTTCCGTTTAAATCTTGAGAATGTGATATTTATTCTATAATTATTAGAAATATACATTATAATAAACTCGAAAATAATTAGCACTTCAGTTCTACTATGTATATCTTGTTTATTTTATTTTTGTAAATCAATGTATATTTATTACTAAGATTTTTGATATTTATAGAAAATAATCGTAATTCATTTGATAATCGTAATAATAACATTTTTATTCTTACATATAGTATATGAGAAACAATATATAACATATGTATATATATAAACATATATATAAAATATACATACACACATACATATAGGAATAAAAAAATATATTTATATTAAAAATCAAGATAACTATATTACAGTTTTAAAAAAGAAATGATGAAAGTGTATTTAATTGACATCCGTACCTGGTATGTAGTAGCCAAGAATAAGTAGAGACAAAGAGAGGAAATAAGAAAAGGACAGAGATATAATAAAAATTCAGGAATCAGCGCCATCTTCAGAGTGCCGTAGATTAAACTAAATATAGACAAAGATAATAAATAATAAAAGAAAGACAGAGATAGGATTAGAATTGTTTACTAACGCCATCTTTTGACATCTCACAGAAATGATAAGAATTAGAAACTACTGCCATCTTTTAGAAAAATGTCTCTTCAAAAATGTCAAATTCAAAAGATGGCGCTGATCTTCAATTTTTTGCTATTTGTATCTTTCTCTAATAATTTGCTCTTCTTGTTTATTTATTTTATTTAAGACTAAAGGTCCAAGGATAAAACATAGCCAATAAAATATTTGTGTACATATATACTTTATATAACCAAATATAATTAATTAAAAGAACCATTACATTATTTTATTTTTAATGTAATAAAAAATGCCTCCAAAATCTAAACTGGTATATAAAATCTTTTTGTCTTTCTTTTTATTATAAATTTAAAAAATGAATAATATTATATTAATTCTAATTTGTATAAAAATATTAGCTCGTATTAATAACAATTCTCAATTTATAATAAATAATAATTTCAGAATTCTAAGGAAACAGGAATGAATAAAAAGATTTCAGATCAATCAAAATTGACACATACTTGTGTAGAAACTAGTAGTGGTTTGAGTCAGGAAGCTGAAGATCAATTTGAATTAGAATTATGTTGGTGTGTTCAACAGTTAGAAATGTGTTTGTCCACTGGAAAGCTTCCTGAGAAACAAATGCATGACTTAAAAAGAAATATAAATATTTTAAAGAGCAATAATGCCTCTTTGATAAAAAAGAGACAAATAATGCGTAATACTTTAGGAAATTATAGAGAAAAAATGGCTTTGGACGAACAAAAATTTGGCAAAACAGCATTTTCTATCAAATTTATGCCTATAGCCAATCAAAATAAGAAAAGTATATTTTTGAAGAGAGCTGCTTCTATATCTTCTTCTACATCTTCAAAGGAAAAACAATATTTGAAAACTATCGCACTATATCCAAGCTCAAATGAAAATACTATTGATATTAATAATGTACAAAATCCATTTAAATTTAATTTTCAAATTACTGAATAAAAGAATTTTATATATATTTATATAAAATGGCAATTATTGGTTTCACTATAATTTATTATTTTTATTTTTTTAAGATTTTTTTAAATATATCTTATTAAAGATAAAAGCTGAAATAATTTTAGTAAATAATATAATTTTTAGTAAATATTTTAATTTAATAATGAGTTTATGCTCATTTATATCTATTATATTATTATCTTTCTATTTTTATTTTTATCTTGTTATATTATAATTAAAATTTAATTGATAATATAAGAGTATATATATATATGTATACACAAATTAATTTATATTTTATAAAGTAAGATTTGTTATCAATATGGTCCTGTGGCGCAACGGATAACGCGTCTGACTACGGATCAGAAGATTCCAGGTTCGAATCCTGGCAGGATCGATAAAAGTTTTTTTTCTATTAAAATAATTTTTAATTGATCAAATTATTAGAAAGAAAATATAAAGAAGTTGAATATTTTAAAAGACAATAAATTCAATTTTTGTAAAATTATGAGCCTAAATATGAAAATATTGATTCAAGCAAAAAAAAATAATTAAAAATTTATAAAAGGACAAAAATTCTTACTATAGAATTTACATTAAAAGTAAAAGAAAAAAATAACATAAATAAATAACAATAAATTAAAATGAAAGCAAAAGAAAAATATTTAAAAAATATGTTTTTTAATCTTAATTCAAGCAGGTTATGAAGCGAATAAAGAAATTCGTTATATAAATAAATATTATGTTATGATATATTTAACAACCAGTAGTAACAAAGGTATCTCATCTCTCTTACATATTTATAGCAACAGAAGAGCACTCTTTATCATATGATACAAGCTTGAATCTGTATATAATTATATATAATATGTAGATATATAGATTGTCTCAAAAGTCTATCGCATAACTTATCGATAAAGAATAATGGAAACAATGAATAATATAAATAATATAATATAATAATATAAATATATCATTATTTGATTTTTTTTTCAAGAAAATCTATAATAGAAAAAAAATGTAAACTCTCTTTAGCATAAGCAAATTGTTATTTGAATTAAATAAAGATACTATATTATTCTTTGGACAAATATCGATGCAAATTCAACAAATATAATCATATTGATATAGATGATACGATTAAATATAAATTATCAAAAGAATGCACTAGACTTTTATGACGTCCTATATATTTATACTTTTCAAAAATCACTTTTATTTTTTTCTTTATTTCACTTCTTCTTTTTTTATTTATTATTTTTAATAACATAACAATAATATATGTATCTAGAAAAAATCAGTTCCTTCTTTTTACAGTTCAACTGATAGCAACTTAGACTCAATAATGACTTTTATGATTTCTAAATAGAAATATCTTTTTATTAGAGAAATATGTTTTTCTAATATATAGTCTTATATTAAATATATAATAATATATATATATATATATATATATATATATATATATATATATAT